CCAGCTGGTTTTGTCATGGTACTTTATTGCGTGTAATGCTTTATTGCGCGGGTTCTATTGTAGCTAAGGCTTACAGTCAGTGCATAGAATCTCTTCAGTTTTAGTGATCGTTGTCGCGGTCTTTAATCTTTTTTCATGATACTCAAGAAGACGTTTGAGAAATGAAAGTTGCAATTTCTCTGGATTGTCGTGACGAAATGTTGAAAAACTGTTATGAATGTAGAGAAATGATGCTCATTTAGAAAAGAAGAAAGCTTTAGTGTATATAGGTCAACCATTCCCTGATTATAAAATTCTATACAAGCTATATTTAAATTAGCTAATGTATTTTAATGTATTTTTATTACATAAACATAATTAATTAATGTATTTTTATGTTTTTATTACATAAAAACATATATTAATATATTTTATATTTTAATATATACTTTTATTTATATTTCAATATGATGAAATATATATTTTAATATACTAAAACACTAAAGTATAAAAACTTATTTTAATTATATTGTCAAAAGTATAAAAATATTATGTAAATACTGTCGTCATTTTTGTATAAAACTATTGTTACTATATTATAGGGGAAGGTGTGAAATAACAATTTAAATCTATAAAAAATATATGTTACTGTCAACACTTCAAAGAATATTTTAGAACTTTTTTAAATTTTTAGACATCAAAATACAACTTGCACAAGAAAAAATGTCAAAATCGGTCAAAGGTACAATATCAGTTACTGATTAAAGGTACAACGCTTGCTTATTTTTTATTTGTTATTACTTTTATAAATTATAGGTTAAGATTGACAGTATTAAGTTTTAAATAATTTTTTCTGAATATCTATTTAACATTTTAGGCAATTCCAACATAAGACAGAATACATATACAACATTTTATGAGATTAAAAAGCGTCTTGAAATTATTTCATTCGAACGCTTGAAAACAATAAATGATTTTTCACAGGAGTATAATTCTATTCATTGTTATAATTATAAGTTATAAAACACCTCTGGTATTCGTACTACAAACTGCATATTTTTACTTTTAAAAATATATCTAATAGATTTTTTATAAATTCAAATGGTTAAAGGTACAACCGGTCAAAGGAACACCATGTTCCCCTACATTTTTACGTATTACATACGATTTTTATTTTGAAATGTAAAGCGAATAAATGTTAGGAATATATAAGCCTCATAAAATATTTCTGTTCTTTTATGACAGATCTTATACATCAAAAATTGTAAGAATATATTCTATTATTATTCCTTAAGAAAATTTTAATTTCCCAGAGAACATTCGCATTCTCCCATTTAATTTCAATAAAATGATTATTATTTTTTATTAAAAAAATTTTCATTTTGTTTCTCATAAAATAAAACAAGAACTGCAAAAGCTTTGTCGTTCTGCAAGACTTCAACATTCCTGCATTTCACGTTCTGCGATCTTAAGGTTTCCTGAAGCATTCCAAAGTGCAGTGCTTTTTGCGATGATAAAAGCTACCACAATAAATGAGGATTCCCCGAAATAATTATTTATATGTACCTACATACATATATTGTTATGTACGTACTTTTTAAAAAAGCTTTGAGTAATAACACTATTAAAACAGTTGAAAGTTGATTAACGCGAAGTGCATCAAATTAATTTTGCAATAATAAAAATTTATGTAAGCTATTAGAGGAAGGTCGCCTACTTAATAACGATTATATCACTTTTTTTTGTGTGCTTTTGGACTATATTTCTTAAACAAAGGCTAAAAAGAAAACTTTGAAAACATAAATATAAATTAGAAACTGTCTTTTATCAGTGATATAGAAGTTCTTATAATATTGTTTAGAATTTTGTAATAATTAATCAAAAGAAATTGGAAAGAATAAGGGCAATATGCCCTTATTCTTGGTAATAATTAATTTTTTAAGTAATTAATTTTTTTATAAGATAATCAAAAATGAGCGCTTAAAATTGGCTATAAAATGAAGATAAATAGTAGACCTTAAGGGGATCCTATAGCCGTCTGTATTACTGACTAAATCGTAATTTTTGTATAACAATTACTATTTTCCTCTTTTACAGATTCTCTCTTTCTCGAAAATCTTTTTCCAGGATTAAAGTATACGCATTGAAGATGTCTGTGAGGTGGAACTTATGCTGAGAACGACAAAAAATTTCGAAATTGAAATTTTAAGAAATATTTTTTGCCGTTCTCGGCGTAAACTCCACCTCACAAAAACATGTATTAATTCTTATTTTTTTTCGTTTACAGAAATTATTAGTATAAAATGTCTACGTTAATGTAAATATAAAAATTTCAAGACTTCTTTCACTTTAACATAAAATGTTTTTGTTACTTGTATATGCATACTTTATGCTATTCCGCACGATGCAAATATGTAATGTTAAAGTATTTTTTTAGAGGCTTTTCCCGTAAATACAGGAACGCCTTCAGCTCCAATAAGGCTATTTATTTAACACAATAATGCGATACTAAGCGTATATTAAGTTAATTTATAGTCTTACAGACCATAAGTGTCGTTTTACGCTGCACACTAATTTTATGTTTAAAACTATATTACGAGAAAAATAAAAAAGAGAAAAATATAAATAAAACAGTTTTAGGAATATGTAAAACGATATAATATTATCAATAATATATCCACTATTATTTTAATCACGCAAATGAAAATTGTAAGAATTTTATTTTTGCATTTGTAAAATTCGTTGATTTTTAGCTGATTTTGAATAGAAACAAGTACACAAATGTATAAGTCTTTTTCTTCTGTAATTATCTAAATAGATCATATGTTCTTATCAATATTAATAAAATAATAATAAATAATAATAAATAAATAATAATAAGATGTAATGTTTAATTTACGAAAAATAAATAACGTCTCGATCTTAGGAGACCTATGTCTGCAGTATCGTTAACTTTCCTCTATATAATCATTTTTATGCTGACAATTGCAGCGTTCATTTTATACACATACGTATAACGTATTATTAGTCAATATGTTGAAAATAATAAAGACAGCTTTGTTCCGACACAAAGTGAATTATCTTTGTGTATACATTCCTCCTTGGGAGCAGGTATTGCTTTATTATACCTATGTTATATAACCGACTCACGTCATGTCAGCCGACTTTACATAATGAAATCGAGGTGGTTTCAGCACATAATACATTTATCTAATAACGCCGGTTATTTTCAATCAATAAGTAATATTCAAGTAGGCGAACAAAAATTACGTTATAATGGTCTGAAAATAATGTTACGGAAATAAAATTGCGCGTAAGTTACACACTTGCACTACAGCAAATTTTACACGTAGCGTAGTATAAAGATAGAATTAAACTTATTAAACGTATGCGCATTGATTTTTCAAGTTTTTTTATTGCTCATGTATTTTATCACTTCAAGGTCGTTGATTTTTTGCGAAGAAAACAAAAAAGGCTACTTTATGGCTCCATTAAATCTCGCGCTTCGTTTAAGCGTTGCGATTATCTTTTCTTTCGCCGTTACCGCCATCGCCTGCGGGAGAATAAAACAAAAAAATTGTAGAAAAAGAGAGAAAAAGAAAGAGAGAGAGAGAGAGAGAGAGAGAGAAGAGAATTCTTGACTTGTAATTACCCGCGTGCTCTTTACGCGCATCCCCGCATTCGACACAACTTTCTCACCCCTTGTTCGCTGTCCACCAGGCTTTTAACGGTAAGCGATCTCTGCTCTGAAATATGAGACTTAGGGAAGATTTTTTTTTTCCTAGCAAGTAACTGTCGTTACGGGATCTCCGTGTAGAACTGCGCCATGAAGTCGGGGTAAACTCTTCAACTTTATCGAGGAACTTATTTCAGCGATCATTATTTGTGAACGGCGACTGTAACGTTTTAATCCCTATTATACCATCGATCGTAAGTCCTTACGGCAATTTCCTTAATAGACATATCATAGTACGCGAGTTATATTAACTGCGTACATTATTTACGGAGCTGCAGGTCGATAAATTCGCTTTTTTATTATTAAAGGCATACGCTTGAAAAATATTTGCGAAACTTACGCGTGACTATAATTTCAGAATTGAAAAAGACGGCGAGCGTATGCGATCGATGGTCTTCCAATCGTGCGTTAGTCGAGGCGTAACAACCATTCGCGGTTCTGTGATTTATGATAGGAGGATGATAAACAAGCGCGGGCGAAATTTAAACGGATTTTGAAGTCGCTTTGTCGAGGAAGATTTAATGCCGTACTAAACCAAAATGTCGAAACTGTACGCGCAATAGGCGAAAGTGCAAACGAATGTCACCGTTGCTCTGTCACGACAGAACCTTTTCTGCTCGCGATGAAAACGCGAACCAGAGATACGTAACCGATATATCAAACGTAGTCGAGCATGGTCTCTGAATAATGCATGAGGGCGAGCAATGCGCGAACGGAGAGGCACATTTTCAGCACCACTGATGTTCTCTTTTTTTCTGCATTCTACGAGATGCACGTTGTCCTGTTTCTCATTTTTGCCTCACAAATGTGACATTTTCCATATAAATCCATTCAAATAGCAGGCACATAGGACTGAGAGATACTTTTATTACGTGCCTTCAATTTTTTAGAGATGAATGTTTTTCGAAAGCAACTGAAGTAATAAAGAAATTAAGCTCTAAAATTAAATCTCTTTCAATTCTGAAGTTAAATCCTTTTTAGACTTATGATTCGGGTCAAATTTCAAGATAGAATTTTACTTATAACTTTATATGTACTTTAATGTATAATGTATAATAATAATATTTATATACGTACGTATTTCTGATTCTCAAATGCTTTTTGTATATGTGACACATAAAATTATAAAAAGATACATATCTTGAATTCTGATATAAATAATTAATTGTCTTAATAGAAATAAATTTTAAGATCAAACTAAGAAGTAGTTAAGAAGTAGATTTATTTCAGTTATTTCAATTATAACGTACCCTTTTTCAACAAACAAATCTATTTAAAATTATAGGCCGTCACAGTAGAGAATATCTCATTGTGGAGGGAAACGATCGACCCAAAAGGCATCGGCATGTTACGATCTCGCCAAGCAAACACAGCGATGCCGATGGAAGCGGTATGTTCACGTATATTATAATATTATATAAAGGATAAGAAAAGAGGCTATGGAATACCATTTTGTTTTATTGAAATAACTTAGTAGATATTCGCGTGACGTAACTACCGTGGATACAAGTTAGTCATATAGACTATAGAGAGATACCAATTATACTATGATTAGAAGCTCTTTGAATATGCAGAACGAACGTAATTTACAAATAACTTAAAACGGACAATGGTTGTAGTTATGGAATGAAAGAAAGATATGGAATTTATACCAACTAACATATAACTTCACATGGAAATATGAACACATAATTCGTTATCAAAGGTTCAATTATATATCATTTACGGATGTATCGCATCTATTTTTATAAATGTGTTAGTATTTATACTTTAAATGAACTATATGAAAGTTGTCTTTATAATATTGTATTTTTATTGACATTTGTTATTGTTTACATTGTTATTTTTATTATAAACTAAAATTTAAAAAACAATGACAAAGGTTTTGATTTTTTATAAGTATTTTAAGTATCAAAATAATTTATGTTAAGTTTCATTCAGAGATTAGTTACAAAGATTTAGAAGAAATAAATATTTTGTTTATTTACAGAATAAGAAATCTTTGCGTCGCAATGTAACTTTATATAAATCATCTTGAATACTTAAAATATTCATACAGAAAAATTGAGATTTTTTTCATTATTTTATAATATATTTTCATATATTTCTATTAGTGCACAAATAAAAATAGTATTACTTTTTATTGAAGTTGCTTTGATGGTAAATTGTTACTAAATTTTTCATATTACTTTTAAACGCGACTTAGAATAATCTGTAATTCTTTCATAACTTTTTCATTATTTTGAAAATATGTGGAATACATCTTCCATATTTAAGGCCTCCAAACTAGATTACATAATTAATATCAACATACTTCTGAAAACTATGTCAACGTAAAGAGTAGACACCTGCAAAATTGTCTGTCTACAAAATTAAAATGCAGTCTTTATGACAACATAGTAAACACTCATGACCAGTGGCTATGTTGTAAGTAACATTTAAGCATAATGTGAAAGAGTCATTTTGAAGTCGCTCCCAAAATGCACCGCAAACTATACAAGATGATATTCCATAACTCTTTGCGTAATTATAATTCCCTCTTTTTCCACTATACGAAAGGAAAGATGATAACAGATGATAAGACCTTAAAGATGATAAAACCTAAAAAGTTTTAATTACTGTTGTAATTAATATTTAATTATGACAGTCGGATGATTAATGAGATAAGTTCAAACATTTGTTTACAGGTGACGTGACAAAGATCGAAGTGGAGCTCAAGGAAGCACCAGATGCTGTCATCGTCGGTTCTATGTCATCGGAATTGGAAGCCACCACCGAGCTCAATTCGACCTTTCCCAATGGTAAGTCTAATAATTTCATATATAATCCTGGGGGAGTAATCTCGTAACTTATATTTCTGATGTTTCATGATATTTTTCTGACCAATCTTGTTAAGCAAGATATAAAGATTCTATTCAACCTCGTCTTTCGTGTTCTTCTTTCTTAATAAGAATTGATGGTTTCCGAAATCTTTTTAGTTTTTCTTCTTTCATGTTACCGGAAAAATAAGCTTATTTGGATTTTTGAAGAAACATTTACGAAAAGTAATACTATATGCAGATCGCTATCTTGAAATTTAATGAAGTCTTGGCACGAATTTTAATTTGATCGGTATCATTATACTCGGAACAGCAGAAAAGAAACATAACCGGAATTAAAAGTGAACGCACATAGAAGTAGAAGTACGCAGTAAGCAGTAAGACGTAAGACCGCTATCTTTCATATGTATAGATATACTGGCAATGTTAACTGCTTACTTCGTACGTCTTATTGCTTACTGCTTGCTGCTTACTTCTACTTCTATGTGCGTTCACCTTAAAAGTTTAATGAGATCTTTGAAACATTCACAAATAAGGTAAATGTCCCAGTAGCCGGACGTTTAAGCGTTAGGTTTTCATAAATAATACAATTTATAATATCAAAAAGGTTTTTTAATATAAATATTTGTATTCATTTGAAAACTCAAAACTCCCTTAAGCAAGGAAAAATTATTTGAACCCACTTATAACAATTATTAATTAAAATATTTAAATAAATAATAGAATGCGTCAATGTATCAGTGGCCGGACAAGCCGGTCGGGCATTGAGACGTAATTGTCCCAGTGTCCGACCACAATTGGAAAATTAATATGCTGACGCGGAAAATAATAATATAAATAGATGTTTAATGACAAAAGACTAATTCAAATTGATCTTTAAGATAAAAAAAGCATTTGAGATTAATATTAATATAAATAAATAAAAGTTTGTGTAACTGTCCGGACATAAGTACTGTCCGATCCCAATGACTGGACATCTACCTATGTCCGGACATAACCTATGTCCATTTACATAACACTTTATTTATTTAAGTTAATATTAGTCTCAAATACACTTTTTAAAACGTAATATTATAATTTAATTGTAATCTTTAAATGCAATTAAATTATAATATACTGTAATAAAAAAAGCATTTGAGATTAATAATAATAAATTTTGTGTAAGTGTGTGTCCAGACACTGGGACGTTTACCTTAATAGGTCTGTTTTTTATTACTGCACTTTTTCTGAACTAATACACATAGTGCGGCAATAAAAAACAGACCTAATGTTTCAATTTGGAAGAGTCCCGAAAGCTCGATTTTTCGTATATCGTTTGTTTGTATGAATTTTTGACGTGACTTCTTTTTATTTTTATTGTAACAACGAGAAGAAATAATTCGTCGAGTAATTGAGTTTTCCAATGTTTACCTACCTTCCGCTCTGAGCTTTCGTTCTGCACGTCGATTCAATTTTATTTTCATCAATCAACGAAGCATTATTCAGAAAGGATCATTTCACATCTCACGGTATTTCCACGAAATCTATCTACGTTCACGACGAAATGACGGTTTCACGATAAACGTAGATGTAGATCAGTAGAAATTACATTAATGAGTAAATAATAATCGATTATTCCATAACGTGCAAAACGTGCAAATTTTCCGATATTGGATCTTCGCTAATCTAATTCGAGTTTAGGTAGTTAGTACGTTTTACGGCCGCTATTTATTTTAGTTTTACGTGAAACTGTAAATGTGTTTATACTTGACGATACTCCAGAGATTTTACGGAAAATTGTTGGTGACAGAAGATCGATCACATAATTTTTCTTGAGGAATGAAAACATGGAAAAGTAAAATTTCACATAAATTTGGCATACTTGTGATCAAATTTGCGGTAGACCACCTGCGATGCAATTTAATATATTACGAAGAAAAAGGAGTATCAAAAACTTTGCAATATGTTGCGTTTTCGCAGTTATTTAAATTAAATTTCAATTCTTTAATAAGTAAGTTTAACAAGTAAGTGTAAAGTTTGAAAATGTATGAAAAGTTTTGTTACTCGGGGGACACAAAGAAAGAAGATTTAAAGCAGATATAAATTATGTATAGAATGTCGTCTCAAAGTATGTATACTCTACATACATCACGGATGCCAAGAACGAGCATTGTACAATACCTATAATGGAATCTATCTACTCCTTTTTCTCCGTTTGATTTTCTACATGATAGCCTGCGAAGTAAAGTTCTCTCCCCGGGCCCGTTTCGACGGCATAGGACGGTGGATATCAATTTATCAGTTCGATCGTTTGCCATACGAGCGTAGTATGAAACATCGTTAGACGGCATTATATGACCGCCAACAAAGGTTTACGTATGACTGAACATCGAATTGTACCCCTGAGCGATATTTCCTGAGTTTATTTTCTCTCTCGCAGTCAGCCAGACATGTTCGCATATAAGTTGGCTCGTAGATCAAAGGATGCACACAAGAAATTAGGTCACATTATCATGGTCGCGTTAGATTAACTTTAATCTTAATACTAATCCATATTAATAGGAGTATAATGTTCATGCCGTGCACTCATTAAACACTGATCTTTCACATAAACTTATAACTTCCTTCGTTGTTTATAATTGTATAGTTTTTGTACACTTTATCGCAAGAAACGAGAGAGGATTTAATCAGGGATTGCAGAAACGGGCGCGGTAGTGGTACGAGCCGAGGAGGTCCTGATTGTCGTTCTTGTCCTGGTCCTATGGGTGGCTGCCATCGCTCTGTTTTTCAATCGATGGGGCAAGATCCGCATGCTCGAACCGTACCAGCCGAAATTTCAGCAACAACACAGACAAAGCTGCACCATAATCGACCCAAGCCCACTCCAGGTAAGTACATTCGTGTCGAGCTCGTTCTTCTCTCCGCGTGTACTCCCTTATTCCGCATGGATAGCATACTGAATGTTTATGCAGTTGTTGGAACGCACCGAATTGCATCGTCGGATTACCATAATGGACACAATCCGTGTAAATGTGTAGCGGAAGCAACTCTCGGTGTGCCTGGCTATATTCTACATGACGTTGCAAACGATTATGTATCAGTATATATGTATATACTAATGTAGACAGAAATGTTAACGATAACTTGCGACTAATGGATAATCAGATAAGAGCTTAAATTAATGGTTTCCATTTAGAAAATAATTCTAATTTAAAGCATTGTTTGCATTGCTCGGTAAAATTAAAAGGTACTAATTAACGGAATTGAGTTTGCTTTAACTAAAAATTTTATGATTATTACTGTTGATTTAATATTTTATTTTAAATATTATGATTTTAATATAATTCTGTGCAACGTATCGACCGTATTTAATTTAATTAAATAATTTGCGAAGTTTCTCTTCGTGGCGCGTAAATTAGGTAAATGCGTTATGTGGAATACAAGTTTCGCAGTTAGTGGGATGAAAATTAAATCTCCCGATATATATTCATGTAGTGGTACAGAGATTCTGATTATTTTCCATTTAATTACCAAAATAACGACGAGCATTATGGAACTATAATACATAGCTGTAAGGCAAACTCGGTATGTTAAACTACCGTTAAAGGAGATTGGCAAACTCGTGAGACCAGAGTAATAACTACCGCAAACTTACCTAGGATACCGGTTAAACACCATGTATCTTAAATGTTCTAAAACGTATTGTTATATATTATTATTAAAGAAAAAATAAATGCCAAGTTTTCAATAACGTTCAGTTTAAAAATACCGTAAAGCTTATTAATTTTTTTTAACTGCTAAATATATTATTTATTTTAAAGTTTACAATCTAATAAATACATGCGTATGCAATGTCTCGTATATTATGGTATAAACAAACAATAACTTGGACGTGACGTTATTGGCATGAATGCGAGAAGTAACGTATTTCCCGTACAATACGCGAGTCACGTAGACATGAACCTTGCTTCTACATCTGGATTCTACGTGTACGATTATAAATTCATTTGTATCTCTAATCGGATGCTTATGGTAATCAGCTTTAATTTCGGATCATGCCATTCTTAGAAATTGAGTCAGGAGTTTCGCAGAACAATGTTCGCTGAACAAAATAAATTCTACATCGCGTGCCAAAACGACGTATAAAACAAATATTAATTATAAAAATGAATTTAAAGAAATTGGAATTAATTTTAAAATCTTATCATTTATTCTTCAATAATATCTTTTCGGGAAGGGGTGTTAAATTAATAAATTTTTAGATAAAGACATTGTGTGTGTGTGTGTGTGTGGATCGGCGGCTATAAATCGAGACAATGAATACCTATATCCAGTAAGTCAAACCGTCGATATCTATTCATTCTATATTCCAATTGCGCGCTTTGGAAGTTCCTAAATCTTGTAGTAGCCATTAAACTGCCAAACGCATTTATGTCAGCTTATTTATCATTCAGAGATGAATGCAAAATAAACGAGAGGATTTACTGCTGCGTATTTGTTATAAATTGACTCTCCAATGGTTCCCTGTCGGAACGGGTGCTTCTCGTCGCAGTCAGATATATCATATGTTTCGTAACCGGCTTCCAGATGACCATATACATACTTTAAGATTTTGTTATTATATACAAAGTACGTATAAACAACGTATGAAGCAATTTATCAGAATGTTCTGAGATTGTTTTGCAGACGAAGGGTCTGAGCACAAGAATTATCGTAATACTTACTTAGACTTAAGTTGTAGACGTAAGTAACGCACAAGATTTGGCATATGACTCTCTTGAAGACATGGCAATAAGTTGTACGTCATACGTGAAAGCTCTAAGTAAGTGTTACGACAATTCTTGTGCTCAGACCTTACAGTTGATGACAGAAGACGTGACGTTTGTCTTAAGACATAGATGTAAGGTAAGACAGAGGAAAGTTTATAATCTAAAGACTAATAGCCTTTCACGACTTAAGTTATAAATTTTTCTCTGCCTTACCCAGCGTCCACGTTTAAGACAAACTTAAGCGCATACATCTCGTTCTCTGCCATTAGCTTAATTAGCCTAATTGGCTTAATTAATTACAGTTTAATGGATATTCACGTTTGGTGGGTACATAAATTCCAGATCGGACTGTTTTAATTACGCTTTGATTTTTGAATCTGATTTCAAAGTCAAAATATACACGAACGTAAATAAAATCCAAATTGGAACAAGAGAATTTGCCGTGCGAATGATCTTTCATTTATATTGAAATTAAGCTATTTTGTTTTGTAACTCCATAGAGAGAGATTTTAGATAACAAATATAAATGTACCATATTTGCGAGACAAATCCTTTTACGATATTATTGCATTGACGTGCATGTTTTGTTATTCATGCGGTTTAGAAAATAAATTTTTTGAGCGAATAACACATTGCGTCAGGAATCAACCTTTGTAGGCGTATAGGATGCGCCAAATATTTCGCAATGTCCACATATTGATATTGGATTTACCGGTATAAAGGAATACAAATCACGAATGGGATATGTGCTCCAAAATAGGTGCTCAAAAACAAAATTCACAAATCCGATCATCTCGTCGCGCTGTATATCGCCGAGATTTTTACGAGTTCGCTATATAGCTATCCATTCATTTCGTGTAAAATTTTGCTTCCCAACATTGACATTGTATTTTTTTATCGCGTCAATTAATCACGCCTAGCATCATCAAAAGCAGCAAAATAATCCCAGGGTTGTTTGAATTTGATATAAAAGGTATATTAAATGTTTTTGTTATAACAATAGATTTTTGTTTCTAGTGCTTCTACAATATGTATAGGACAATGTATGTGAACGTTACATGGACGTACGTTTCGCGTCCGTGAGCTTCGAGCAATTACTTTTAGATAGGAATCACCATTCGCCAATATGTATTTCTGCGTCCATGGTAATTCAATCGCGGAAACGTTCGATTGCATTGGCGTTTACTATGTCAGAAGCCGACCTCGATTCTGTCAAATCACGTATCTTAAAATTGCTCTCGACGGTCTGCAGATGGTATCCGAGGGAAGTTGGCTCGAAACTATTTTTAATTTGGATACGCACGGCTAAATCAAAATATTGATGATCTAACGACATAAAACATGACGGATATCTAAGCGAAAAATTTGTATAGAGCTATATAATTTAGAATACGGATAATAATGGGCTTAACAAGCTTATAATGATGATAAATTACTTGTATCTCTGACGTGATGCGAGAAAAATTGGGAACAGTTGCTCATCGGTGACATCGACCGACTGACGAAGGTTCTGTATTTAATGAAAACTAAATGAAAACTTTTCTCAAGATACTTCACGTAATTCTATTTAAACAGACTCGCAAACCATTCTGGTCCGCAAACCACCATCATTCTGAATGTCCTTGGTAAGTGGAACTTCGTTCCGATGTAGTTACAAGAGGTACTCAAATTATCGAATGTCCGATCGTCGATTTTGGGACGAGTTTGCTGAAGTCCAGTTTACTGTAGGATTCGGATATGCCTGATTGAAGTGAATCCCGCGAGGGGATTTTCAATACTCGATTCAATCCTAGAAGGAAGATCGATCGTCTATTTGCAATATATAGAATGCGAATGGATTTACTATTGTTCTCTAAATTGTTTGAGTGAGTACATGTGGTGAGCTTTCAGGGGATTACAACGTGTAGTTAGTGGCTCTAGAGGTTCTAGAGGGAAGTTTGTGTCGCGTACACAGTCTGGCATATTAACACCATTACTGACTGTCTATCATGCATATTCCAACTCTGTGCAAACGTGAATATCTTTTCACTGATTAGATAGACTTCTGAATATATTCATAAATCTACAGATTTTGGATCTACATATTCGGGTATTTATCCATAAATCCATACATCCATAAATCTTCCAATCGGTAATTTACGTTTTCATCTGACTGGTGAAGTCAAAATTACTTTCTATTTGTACAATAAATTAATATATTATTAATTGACATATATCTTAGTTAAAGTTTCGATCTGGATTTTAATATTAAATCCATTGTAACAACATTTTGATATGTCGAGGTCTGCAATTTATACGAGGTGTTACGATTATGCTAATGCTAACGAATAACGGCATGATATTACATGCAATATTCAAGACAGCATCTGTATAATGAAGGGATATGCACATGTCTGCGCATGGAACCTGCAATTTGTCATTCTAAGTATGCGAGTACGCCCTGTGCGCAGTTACATCGTTCCATTAAAGCCTTAAAGTAATGTCGTACATATTACACGCGTTTTCGTTTGGGAGATATTATCCCGTCATACTTCTGATGTGTGTATACGCGTTCCCAGATCCGTAATCCTCTGAAGCCGCGTTAACCAATATCGCTGTCTCGTTCAATTTTCATGATTGATGAGGAAGCTATGGGGAATAAGCTGTTGAAGGAAGCTTGCAGCGACTTTCAATCGTATGAATAAATTAATGTCACCGGAATATTTTCCCATCAAGTAATTGATACGGTAATATGACATTATTGCTAAAGAGGATAATGAAGTACATTGTTTACATAATATATAACCAGACACGTATAAAATGACAATTTCTTCGTATTTTATTTAGTCGTGCTGCCATAAATGTTATAAATAATTCCATAATTTCCTAATCATCAGCGGTATTCTATTTGTCTATGCGTTAGTTTTATAAATAGCAAAATGATTGAAAATCACGCGCAAATGTTAATGAACGGTTTGTCGAGGTCAGATAAATTGTCGAAGATATTTAGCGAATTTCAATGTGTGCTCGGGCCACTTCATTGTGATTGGACATCCCATATACGCTCAAACGTCGAACGTTCTCCGATAATTAGGATCGTGGAAATTCATTCCAAGTATCTTCAATCGTATAATTCAGGATCTGAGTAATTAGTAATTAGTTTCGCAAATTCTCTCTCTCTCTCTCTCTCTCATTGGGTTACAAACGCGAACGGTTCTATCGTAAAAGAAAAATTATAGCCTTTTCGTCGTTTAAAAAAAATTATAAGATGAAGAATCTCGTTCTGCTACTTCCCTCATTTACCTACGCTACGATGTTTTATTGGTACACTTGATTCTGTCCGTTTAATACGCTCCGCGTTGAATCACTCGTGATAGAGGATTGCAAGGAACCGTAAATTGAGCGAAGCATCGGTGGAATACGCGTCTCCATCCTCTTTTGCATAATACATGTAAATGCAACGTCATCCCTTTCAGCTGACTCGCGACACCCGTAATCTCGGAAAATGCAGCACTGCGTCTTATAAAATCCATCGCGACAGCAAGTAGCGACCTATGCTGAGCATCTAGAATAACGTATTCTCACAACTCGTGATGAAAATCGCGAGCAGCGCGGGCGTGTGAGTTGCACACGAAAGTTCTCCGTTGCTTTTCAGCTACATATTTCAGCGAGCTATCAGTGATACATCATAAACCGGGACTCTTAAAATATCCTATTTACGTCCCACGAGGAAATTTTGTATCGCAATCTTTCCCCCTGATTACAATAGAATTTAACAAAATGGCGTTATAACCCGGCCTTGCGCGAAGAAACTTCGATCGCGTTGGGAAACTTCATTTACGAAGGAACAATATTACTTTCGCTAGCCACGGGGCTTTTACAAAACAAATTTCTCTCGTTACCACAACAATACTGTCACGACCATTAAACCACCATCGCGTCTACTAGAAAATCATGTCAACGTGTCCAACAAACACACATATGTCTCCGTATATCAAGTCACGTCCGCCCAACACATCTCCACCGACAGTTAGCCAGTCACGTATCTTGTTATATATCTCTGGTTCAAATGGTTCTGTGAGAGCATCACCATAATTAACCCATTATTTATTTTGGCTGCGACTATATATGTATATATAGAAAGAACGATTTTGTTAAAGTATCTGAAAATTTAACTGGATACGGATCTGAAAATAATTGTGTTGGATTAAAAATAATTATGTAGAACACTCAAGCATAATCGGCAAAAAGCTTTGACGTTTTTATAACAACCAACTTCAGCGTCCTACATAATTATTTTATAGAATGGTATAAGAATGGTATAACCATTCTTTTCATGTATGTGCAGATATATATTATGTGGGACCATAAGTTTGTTCAGTTTTTTAATAAAATATTGAACGCAAAATGTGTAGTTAGAAATATTTTTAATCAATTAAATGTTATACTATTTTGTTCGTTCCATCGTGTACATGAAAAGGACGGTTTTGTTGTAGTATCTACAAAAGCTAGATACAAATCTGAAAATAATTTTGGATCGTCAAAATAATAGTAAAAAGGAATGTTTAAACTGATTGTTATAGAATGTCAAAACTTTTTGCAAAATTACTCATCATGCTTGACATTCTTCTGTAACTATTTTAATGGTTCAACAAAATTATTTTCAGATTTGTATCTAAACTTTTAGCTCTCAAACTTCAGCAAAATTATTTTTTCATATAGAAACGGAAAATTAGATTTCTCGATTGGTAGCAAATCTAATTCTGTGCCTCATATCGCCTCATTATGTATTTAATGGAATAATGGAGGAGATCTCTACGCAGTATTCGATCTACAGCTAGATAGCCGTTCGACACCATCCATCATGTAGAGTAAAAGTACATCACGGATATAAGTCTTTCAGTATCGGCTGCAATATCCAGCAAAATCGTTCTTTTTCGTATCAATGAACTTCATTATTCTTCCTTTGTACGATCGATATTAATGATGAGCATTTTCAATTTCTCTTGAAATGAAATTTGGCAAACCACTTCTGGCACATGTATTCGATTCTTCTCCGTACACGGCACATATCTTTTTTTTAAGTCGCATTCTTATTTCTTTACGGAAATAAAAAAACATTATGCACCGAATTAACATGTTATTTCCTTCCATTTTTAAATTGTTGCCAAAATTGCCAACTGTTACTAACTGTTGTACATTGACATCACCTTTCAGAATACATATGATATTTCATATGTTTGAGAGCAATTATATAGTGATTACCAATAAAAATTTTACTGGACCGTATATTTAAAAATTTAACAATAAAAAATAGAAGTAATGGCCGTAACGGTCAAAGCTAGATCTTTAATGCTTAAATAATTCAATCTGAATTACTATATATACTATATATGTACTTGCATATACCATATTTGTATACAGGGTGTTAGTTAAGTATGCTGTCATACTCAACAGAGCGATTCTTTGGTTTATTTCAAGTAAAAAAGTCCATATAAACATGTGTCCTAAACGACTTAGTTTCCGAAATAAAAAAATTTAAACGTGTAGTAATAATTTGTTTATTTGAAAGAAATACAGCTTGAACTAGTCAAAACCTAGTCAAAAACAGAAAAAAAACACACACATAGGCTTCAGTTCTTCTGATGAAATAAAACAATTAGATGAATTGTTGAAAATGTCTACCTTGCGCAATAATACATCCATCAAGCCTTCTTCTCAAAGATTGACGTACACGCTTAAAGATCAAAATCAGAACTGGTCTATTTTTGATTTTGTAACTTTGACTTTGACTTTGTCACTTTGTTTGTGGTTGTGCGAATGGTAACTGACGTGAAGCAAGGCATATTTATGCAGGAAGATATCTCCAACGCAATTTACCGTTTCGTCAAACATTTGCGAACATTCGCCTATATTTCGGAAACTAAGCCGTTTAGGACACATGTTTATATAGACTTACTTGAAATAAACCAAAGAATCGCTCTGTTGAGTATAGCAACATACTTAACTAACACCCTGTATAGTCATTCGAACTGCGTTCTAAATTGATTTTCCGAACTTATAAACGCAATTACTGTAGTAATATCGCGAATTAAATTGACAAGCAATTTTAATAATTTGATGCTCAATCTTAGTATTTAAAAAGAAGTCAATATGCTGAAAAACTATAAATTAGTGATTACAAAAGCATTTGAACACCATCTACCAACAAAATTGAATGGACTTATAGTTTCGCTCAATGTATATCGATATATATATATATATATACAATACATATACATCATTTGAGAGAAGCGTGTTTTATTTAAAAAAAATTATAATTTTTAGGCTGACGCTTAAAGCAGAATATAAATTTAAACGTATTTAATATTTATAAGTCTGATTTGATGTACATACATATAATTACATATCGCGCACATATGCGTATACACATGGCACTTAATCGTTTAATTGTGATGTCAATAATATGTTTGATTGTCGAGGATATCTATCTTTGCATTATTCGTTTTTTCAACCTCACTCGCGTCATCAATGGTCATGTTCCACGACCGTTACGTCTCGGCACATATTACAGCTGCGTATACATATTTTTAACCATATCGCAGAAAATCGATACAAAGATGTTAACTTTGCGTCGCGTTGCACATTTGTCGTGGACTGTTGTTTTAAAAATAACTTACTGCGGATATAACGTCGTGACGGTACTGTTGTAAACCACGTTTCAAGATCTCGCGGCGATAAATAGACCGTGTCAAGACTCGTCGGGATTATCTTCTTGTTCGCAGCATCGGAGTTCGAAGTTTAACATCTACTGCATGGAGCATCCGGTGCATCAGGTGAGCTGCGTCTCGGCCGTCGGGCCGGCTACCAGGCTGCGCCAGAACAGCGTGTTCGTGGGTTCGAGCATGTCGCTGCTGCCGGCAAGTCAGGAGACGCCTAGGAGAGCCAAGAGCGCGTTCGATCTGCAATCGCTGGTGCACGCGGAGGGCATGGGGACGCAGAACGATGAAGAGGAAAGCGACGGTGACACGCTGAGGACCCTTAGGTCTATCGGCGAGACGTCGCGACTGTTGCAGCGCGAGCGTCGATCCAGCGCTTACCAGTTCGACCGTATGGACGTCCTGGCGAGGCCGACGTTGCAGCACGAGCGCGGCATGAGTATCTGTCACTTCGACAGGACAGAGGTCCTGGCCAAACCGCTGCAGAGAGATCGCGGCATGAGTATCTGCCACTTCGACCGGATGGACGTCCTGGCCAGGCCGACATTGCAGCGCGACCGCGGCATGAGTATTTGCCACTTCGACCGGACGGATGTTCTGGCGAGGCCGCTGCAGCGCGATCGTGTCAACAGCATCTGTCACTTCGACAGAATGGACGTGCTGGCGAGACCCACGTTTCCGCCCGGCAAGTCTTTGTTGCGGGAGAGACGCGTCAGCGTGTGCAACTTCCTGGAGAGGGACGAGGAATCGTCGATTGGCAGAAATATTTTGCAAAAGGACAGACGGTTGAGCTTCAGTAACGTCGACAGAATCGAGACTCTTGGGAAATCATTGTCGCGTAGAGACCTGCGCGGCAGCATCAGCAACGTGGTGGACAGCAAACAGGACAGCCTAGCGAAATCGAGCACGATCAGAGAGAGGAACAACTCCGTGCACTTTGATCGTCCATCCTGCAGCAAAACGTCCGACGTCGTACTCGGATACAAAGCGACGTGCGTTTAATCGGGGCTTCTTCCGGCGTCTGAAGAACGCGCGAAGAAGGCGTTGATTCCGTGACGATGGTCCAGTCGCGGATCCACTTTGGACGAAATACGGCTGTGAAATCCTTTCGTAATCGCTTTCGACGCCACTTTTATCGTTTATATTTCTTCTGCTCTTTTATGAATTCTTCTGAGAGATACCACAGCCCCGAGCACCGATGGCCCTTATTGAACCGTCAAAATGCGGTAAATAATCTCTATTTAAACTCCGGTTTCGAATAATGGCTTTCCCTCATTTTCTCCTTTGCGCGATAAGCGTCGACTTCGCTCGCTCGTTTTGTAGATGAAAAACGATCTAGCCTCGGTCAGAGAAATATCTCACATTTTCTGCGCTTGCGAAATGACTTCACAAGAGTGCACGTCGGATTTTTAGGTGTTCTCCGGAAATTAAAGGCGTGTCGCGTCGCGTGGACACGCAACAGGAGGATGGAGGTTGAAGAGCGTTTTTCATCCCTTTTTCTCCCTTTTTTCTCCCGTTTGTTTTTTTCCCCGCCTTTTTGCCGTGGGCTAAATGTAATAATGAGACTACCTACCGAGCGTCGATTGCATGAATGATACATGACGGGCATTTCAACGAATTCGCTCGGGGAATTTCCATTCGTTACTCAACTATTTGTTAATATTCGAGAGTTTCGCTAACTGAACAATGGAACTGCAGAACGCGAACATAGTTGCACGAGTTTCCATAGGAGACCGCGATTGCGCGTTGGTAGATCGTTTCATTGTGATGATTTATTCGGACATTGTTCAGAATTTTTAATTAACATTCTTAATGGTGAGGTTTGACGAGCGAGCGAAGTATAATCAGTCGGCAAACAAAAAATCGACCAATCAACTTGATTCACTCCTATGTCCTATCCAATTTTGCTCTCCATCTTTCTCTCTCTCTCTCTCTCTCTCTGTCTTTCTATCTCTTACTCTCGTAGTTATAATTATAGACTTGGAGACTTTTCCTTCTCTTTCCTCTTTTTTCTCGGAATCTAATCTGCCGTAGGGAGCTGACCGTAGAAATTACTCCGTTCTTCGAAGAGACGAGGTCTCGTGTAGCATCTATTCTACTTGTAGACATACGTACGGGCTCTCGCAAATTGTCTGCACACACAAGGCAGTAAATCGGTTAGACGCAACGGCATGTTCATCGGGCGCGCATAATCTTTTGATCTGTAGAACCCATTAATGCCATTAGCACGTGGAAGAACAGCACACGCTCTCAGGGATTATTATTTAAAATCTTCACTCGCGCGTAAAAAATAGGATGCGTTCGCTTTGGATGCTTTTCATTTTATCTTTTTAGCCTCCTCTACAATAGTCGCACAGGCTGTGTCGCATGTTGCGTGTAGTAGCGTCGAAAATTTGTCGCATGTCGCAAGAGTGTCGCTAAATGAGCGTCTACAACAGCCGCAAGGATTGTTCGCACGCAATTCGGCCACAAATTCTAAACGCCAACTTGCTGTGTTGTGATTGACTGAGCTCATGCGATACTCTTGCCGCAGTCGCAGAAAGTTGAAGTTGGCTCAACTTCATACGACAAGAGCTTTTGCGACTGCGACAATCATGCGACTAGATGCGACAATTCTGCGACATTTCATACGACATGCGACACAGCTTATGCGACTATTGTAGACGAGGCTTTTAACGCATGTAATGAGAGATAAAGATAGAACGAAGCTTATCTCATGTGAGCATCTGAAGCAAACGCACCCATAGTCTGTCGCTAATATAGAAAATCATCGAATACGCATTTATTTTCTTGCGATTCAATTAAACAACGTTATAGAGCCTATTAATTTAGCTAATGTCGAATGGATTGATGTTGAATGTATCGGTCGGCTTGTTAATCGAGCTTTGCGGCCATCGATGTATGAAATGCGATACGTAGTCCGCGCATTACGACCGTACGTTTACATTTAACGATCGCAACGGTCATTAAAATTTCATTATTGCGTAATGGGTTTGATTCTGAATCTCATTTTGGTATGTCATAATTTTTCGCGGTTAATGCTGTCGTAAAGTACAAAGCATACTATTCTAAAGCCACAGATAAAAACTGTAATAATATTTGCCGTCATATCCGAATATCGATGTAACGAAATAATTACCTATTTTGAATAACTGATAGATTTACACATGATACATACATACATATACATACATGTGCGGGAACTAATGTCAGATATTTTCGGAGAGCCTACATATTTTTATCTGTTGGAATAAGGCAAGCAATTATCAATGAGATTACTCTTAGTATCTAGTTTCTTCATCATTGGAAGATGTATGATACGCGATTACTACGTTCGGTGCTAGAGAGCTCTTAGCGAGATCTATAGTTGTACACGTGTTTGTAGTGCACGGAATTAAAGAGATGAGCTCATTGAACCGTCGGTACATTATCTCTCCTTTCAATTGAAAAGTTCACTCTAAAAGGTAATTAAAAGCGAATCAAAAAGGGAGAGATGTTACTAGAAAACTCATGCGAGCATCTCTAAATTTGTTAAAGGCCCTTGTCTGTTATTTGACGCTTTAATTAAAAGTGCAACGAAGTCACCATGTAAAAAGAGAAAAATCAACACTGTTTAATCCGCACAGCGGAAAGCGGCCTTCAATAAAACGAGATATTATTGTAACATTTTTCGCGCGTATTTATATAAAAGTGGGAGTGCAAATCTCTTGACGAGATTATCATTTTATTTTTCTTCTGACGTAATTGTATCACTATATAATTAAAGGGCTCGGCTCAATAATATATTAATCTTCATGGAAAACATACCTCATCTACAGTAGTCAATACATTATTGTTCCAAATCATTATTGTTCTACAAACAGTTGATTATGGCTATTAAATAATACGATTGTCTTTCATGTAAAATAAAATACTATTTTTCTCGCAATCAAAAAAATCTCTGTTACCTCTATTATCAAACTTTATGGAAGTATTAATCACAGTTATAGCTCCCTCGTATCAGATCGAAATTCATTAACAAGGGGACCTTCTCTAATTAGCCAATAATGAAAATATCGTAGAGTAATTATATGTACATACATATACGCGTAGACACGTCAGACCAAATGTAAGCTTTAAATTTTAAGACTATTATAGTAAAGACTATTCATATGATAGATTATAACGCATTAATTTCTTAACTTCACATTCAGGCGCGTCTCAAACATTCGTACCTTCGACGATTCAGATTGTTTCAATCAAAAAGATTCTATATATTTATTGTGAATGTCCAATAAACATTAAGACACATTCGTATCTCTTTTTTACAAGAACGAAGCTTTGTAAAAATAATGCGTTGCATTTATTTTGTTAAATATTTGTTTGACAGATGGTTCTATACATTTATTTTTAATTTAACAGAAATTGCCAAATAATTTTAAGTACTGCTGAAGATTATATTTGTTCCAGAAATTCTTTGCGATTTTTTTCTATAAATTCCTACGAAAACATCAAACATTTCTATAACATATTTTCTCTTATATATATATATATATCCTCACGAAAAGTTCGAAGAATTAAAAAGGAGTAAAATATATTAAAGAACAATGTATGAGTAAGAATGATTTAATGTTAGACTTGTGTGAGACATAATAAAAAGTACGATGAATGATTAAGATCATCATAAATGATTTACGAAATGGACAAATAATTCGGCAAAAAAGCGTTTATTGAACAAGTTAATGTTAATATTTATACTTTATTATAATATGTATTTTTAAATTATTTCATTATGTATACTTTAAAGAGCTTGTTATATTTATATAATTATGAATATAAAACTCCGATTAATTAATACGTTAATCGACTTTGATTTCATACAATTTATCATTTACAATTTACCATTTACCCATGTGTGTTGGTTCGAGTAATTTTTCTAGTCGTATGATCTGCAAATTATATGTAGGAGATAATTTTGTGAATATGTTAGCGAATGACTTTTTGTGAATATGTATGTTAGCGAATGACTTTTGTATACAATAAATATTATTTGAAACAGTATTGCAATATTTGTTTTTAGTAAAGGGTTTTTATTTTTAAATGTAATCAAATATCACAAAGGTTTCTCGTGTGACGAGATTTAAACATGAGTTGCACTAGTAAATTAATTCCACATGTTATCCTATCTCTATTGTTATTTTTAAGGGAAGCGAAGCGACATCAGAAAAATGTGTCTGTGCTTTTGCGATGTCGAGAGAAGATTGCCCAGAGGCTATCGCTCGTTGTACGTACAATAAAGTGCAACAGTAAAAGCGAGTGAAATGCACAGGGTTTTGCAAAATCTGTGGCTCTCTCGCTAACCGGAAATTTTCGTGAAAGCTTCTATTTCAGAATATCCTGTACCGTATTACACCCTTTATCGTACGATGATTATCGTACGTGATGAGACTCGTTATCTTTAAACCTCTCCATTTTTAAAGAGGCACGGATCAAGTAAGGATCTCCCACTGTGCGCTAAGACCTTTCCATTCTTTCCTGAAATCTAAGATTCTAGAATTTAGGAATATTCTTGAAATCTAAGATTCTAGAATTTTGAAATATTTTTGCTTTCACTACATTTAACAGTTCTACTTTCATTTAATAGACTTTTTGGTTTTCTATAATTCGTTTAGAATCTTGATAATTTATATTTCTATCAAGGTAATCATAGGTATTATTTATTTCAAACTATTCTTTTTTTGTTATTTATCTCGTTCCAATTCACATAATGCGACTCAACTGTTATGTAACTGCTCCTCCATATTACACTTATCATGAAATTTTGACATTGATAGGACGTTGACTCATGGATTACCTTTATAATCACATTAAACTGTTTGAGTGCGAAGGAAACAAGCAGCTCAAACTGTTTAATATGACCTATCAATATTATCGACTAAACGTCAATACCTCTAAACTATATGTGATATGATTATTCTTTCATATTTTCAATCTATCATACTATTTCTAGTTTCTGTTGAGAAATGTTCTTTCATCATTTTATATCATGTGCGTGACTAAAGATTCAGCGCATTTTCTCTATCTGCGAAACCTTTGTTACTTCCATGCGATTCAGCGATTATGCTTTCTACAAAGACATGAATATAAAGAAATATGATCGTTCGCAAATATCAAAATTATGAATTATTGTACATTGAATATACATTTATACAACATTTAATTAAATTTTGATAATTCTTATTCTGTTTATTTTTTGTTGTCATAATTATGTTTCATCATGCAGGTTAATATTTTTTTCTGTTATATATTATTACGAAGTTTTACCTAAAGTTTTCTCATTATAATGATAAGCATACAGCTTGATGAGCACATATCTAGAATCACTATTTTTGAAGATTCCATTTATTTATCTTATTGTTAGTAAATTTTATAAATATTTTACATTTTGTGTTTGGCAAGATGACAAAGGCTGTAGTAATAACACTATATGGTTACTATTAGCTAACATTTTCGTGGAAATTCCTCTGTATTGAGCGAACGCTTAAGAATTCGTAATCTAACTCTGTTACGAAATACCTGGTGAAAATTTTTGCATATACAGCGCAGTAGCTTATATTTTTTTATCCTGTTTTAAAATTAATTA